AAAATACTTCACTTATTTATTTGATTGGTTGACTCAGTGGGCATTTAATAAGCACTTACTATGTGTCAAGTAAGTACTCTGCCAGAGCTTTCAGTATTAAAATATATATAGTGTTATAAATATGGTCAGGTCGGGCATGTAAATAAGAAATTACAGTTCAGCCTAAGTGCCATGCAATGGTATGCACAGAATGCTTGGAGGGCCCTTGGGGTTAATGGAAGATGGAAGGAGTGTAACACCTGGTGGGGCTGGTGGGGCTCTCAGGGACCCTAGAGTTGGTGTTATATAAACTGACCTTTAAAGGTACAGAGGCAGTTAATTAGCTTGAGAAAAGGGATCATTTCAAGGGACAGTGGAAGCTGGAGGCTAGCTAATACTGTCAGAATCTTAACAAGAGTGACTATAGAAAAGGTACTCCAGGGAAGTGGTGGGAAATTGGGGTGGCATGGAGACATTGATTTAAAAAAAAACGGGGGGTTGGGTGGAACAAACTTCTGAGAAAACAAATCCAGAGAGCCTGTTAGCAAATCTTGGCTATGCTTCTTAATACCTGCAGATAAACAGGATGAGACAAGGCTATATAAGCAGTAGTATTATCTCATTTTACAGATATAAAAACTGGAAATGGAGGGGGAAGGGTTTTCTAACTGTGAAGTATAAGTTATGCTCATCTTCATGAGCTAAATTATTTTTTATAGGAAAACTGAGGGATAAAGAAGATAAGTTCATTTTGGTTTATACAATCAAAAATGACTATTTTCTAAGTAGTCAGCTTCTGCAATAAAATCTCTTATTTGGGAAGCATATCATCTGTCTTGACTTTCTCTAGCCTAATAAAACCTGAATAACTGACAAACCTCTACTTCATTTTGCAACATCTAGATGCAGAATAAATACGCATACCATTCCCATTTAAAACGTTTTACCTTCCAAATGCAAACATTTTCAGTGTCTCCTGTAAAAATATGACCTTGAGTTTTTAATTGTTGACTTGAAGACTTAGGATATTTCATATCGGCAGCAATTGAAAGAATGCTATTCACGTTAACCACAAGAGGCTTAAAAGAATGAGCTAACTGCTGCATCCGCATTCTTGGAGCTGTCTGATAGCAAAAGAGGCTGTTCCACTGCTGGATGGCAGCAGGGGTCTGAGGGCTCTCTCACGGAGACTGTCAGAAAGGTGGGTCATGGGGCAGGGCTGGAGCTTCTGGACTCATCCACAACTTCTGACTTTGAGAATGAGGAACTCAGCGCCCACAGAGAATGAGATCAGCTGCTTTTAAGGATAGTCTGGTTGTCAGGCTCAATGAACACCCACATTAGACATCCCTGGACAGGCAAGGAAAAGGACATGTGGTTCCTATGTTGTCTCCGAAATACTGACTCCACAGGGACACTCGTAGACATATTTTCCCAAAGGCCTTCCAAGGGAAAGAAGACTGCTTGTTTTCCACAAGTTTGGTTAGTTTCAGGACACTATAACTTCCAAATAAAGTTACTTTCCCTCTGAATTTGAATTTGTTCTAAGACACTGGGTTTAATGTGCTCCTTAGATATAGAAAGTGTCTCCTTTAAGAGCACCACGCTTTTTTGTTCAGACATTTAAAGAAGAATACTTTAATGGATTATTTTATTGTCATGAAAGACCTCCAGGCTTTCAGAAATTATATCTTTGAACATAATTTGAGTGTCCTGGGTTCCATGCTTTCATATACTCATGAGTATCCATGATTCTTCAAATTTTGAGATACAGTATTCTGTGGCTGCAAAATGAAAGAAAAGCATAGCCTGTCTTTTTTGTTTTTGCTCTATACTACATCAAAAAACATAGTTTATAGAGCCTCCAAAATTTTATTAAACACCATTTTAATTAAAATGGTCAAATCAATTTGTGCCATAAGGACACAACAAAAATTTAGATGACCATAAATCATATCACTTATCTACGACATTACATTTAACCATAGACTTAAATCTAACTTAGGAGGTTGATCTTCAAAAATCCAATATAGAAAACATATACACTCATAACCTCACTGACTGAACACTCCCTAATGTTATAACCAAGTTTAATAATTTTATGAAGATAAAGTCTATCTTTGTGAAAGTGTCATCAAATTTACCCATCATTAATATTAGACTGTCATTAATGCAAAATGAAAAGTTTTCATCTTCAGGCAACTTCACAGAAAAAGGAAAGAAATTAAACCTCCTTGTCTTCTGTCTGACTTTGTACGTGCAGAATCCCTGCTCTGTTTTTGGTTATCCTAATTTGATTGACTCTGACTAACACATAGGATGATTCACACCTACCTTTTATTCCAGCAGCCTTTTGGCCACCTTTGTACTGAAAATCAGTCCTTGGAAAGTAGCCTGCCTCTGAAACCACCGGTATTTATGGAAACCTGACTTATGTCCACACCTTGGAGTTTACTTGCTCTAGGTCTCAACTCATTTGGCCTGAGATACCAACAGCCATTAGATTGACAGTTGCAGTTTACATATCTCAAGACTAATATTATTAATCTATAGACAGAATCACTAATCCCATCTGTATTACAAATAGCATTTAGTTGATTCATATTCAAATCCCTGACTAGTCACACAGATGAATTACATATCTCACCATTATAAAATTTTTTAACTGACTTATCAATAAAGTGACATCTCTTAATGGTTACATTAAAGATTAAATTAAACTAAGTTTTACACATGAGGTTAGAGTTAGGGTGAGGGCTAAAGGATATGTTTAATAATAGGAAATGTTATGCATATTAGATGTAAGATACACAAATTATAAAAGATATTTCATCTGAACTTACATACTTAATGCAAGTACTTTGTAGTTTTAATTGATTTCCTGTTAATTATTTGCCTATATTGTCTCAAATATATTGTCAGCTGCTAGAAGACAGAGACTGTACCCTACGCTTCTTGTTCTTTGCCCTGCACTTAACCAAGTATCTGCTCAGAGTGTGCACTCAGTATCTTGCATATGATGTGCTTTATATTTACAGTTTCTGATTATAACAAAAATAAGCTGGGAAAGCAGGTATTACTATTTTTTTAGAGACTCAGTGAGAGAAGTTAAGTGATTGCTTGGAGTCACATCGTGTGTGTGGTGAAGCCAGGATTCAAAAAAGGTCTGTATATATCTCCGGGACTGACAGACCCCATGTACCCCACTAGGCGCTCTTACCCCCTATAACTTGAATCACCAACTAGAAGGAGGCTGGAATACTGAGAAATTTTCTTAAATGATTCCAATTTTAAATACTGAATTTCCTTTTATTATGGATTCCTCAAGACTATGGATGCCGTTTAATACTTGTACATCTGGCTTATGAATAAAATGAATTAAAATCTTAAAAAGCCATCAATACTATTCCTGTCAATTAATCAGCATAACAGAGATGAAAACTTCTTAATAGCTATGTTAAAATGTTAAAAAGAAATCAGAAAACACTTGCTATGTATATTATTGGCACCTTTTATAAACACTATGTATAAACATGTTAAGGGAGATAGATTGGAAAGCAGTTAAAATCATAATTTACTCAAGTTGAGAATCTTGCTCTGCACACTAATGCAAAGATCAAATCAGTTTTCTTCATGTTGGATTTGGAGTTAACAACTGCAGTAGCATAAGGACATTCACATATGTAGGTTCGGAACTCCATCGCTAGACACCAGCACTTTTACTCTTTTCAAAACAGTCAAGCTTCTGTTTCTTTCGTTCTTAAAGCTTTGACACTTATTCTATCTTGAATCTCCATCTGCACAAACAGAATTTTTCTGTTTAGCCACGGTTAGGGATTCCTAGTGCCAAATCCAAAACTCTACAGCGGGTTTTTCTAAACAACAGCTGTGCACGATGCCATCTTTCAGCAATGGTTTGTGCACCATAAACATAATTATCTGCAGGTTATCAGATGTCCTCATGGAGCAGGGCTGCCCTGGAAGCGTATGCACTAGCTAATTGCTTCTGAATTCTCTGCTCACTGTTTCCTTTACCCATCTGGAGGATCTTGTGGGAGTACACAAACAAAGTCCCTGGCTTCCCAGCAAGACCATCCACACACTCTCTAGTTGGAGGTCACAAACTGGCCACCTGAGTGTGAATCTGGCTCCCAGATGGTTTTTGTTTAATGGGTACAGCATTTGAATTTTCTTGGCCCTCACTGAATACTATTGGTTCTATCCCCTAGATACTCAGGAAAATCAACTGAAAGCTTTTCATAAATATTTATGACTGATCTGGAATAGAATCTCAGCATTGGAATATTTTTCAGTGTTTCCAGATTTTTTTTAACATTTCAACCTTTATTTTAGATTCAGAGGGTACACATGTAGGTTTGTACCCTCTGAATCTAAAATAAAGGTTGGTTTATTTTAGATTCATGGTTATATTGCTTGATGCTGAGGTTTGAGATACAAATGATCCCATCACTCAGGAAGTGAGTATAGTGCCCAACAGCTAGTTCTTCTATGCTCACTCTCCTCCCATCCCCCTCTAGCAGTCCCCAGTGTTTATTGTTCCCATCTTTATGTCCATGAGTACCAAATATTAAACTCACACTTATAAGTGAGAGCATGCAGTATTTGGTTTCCTGTTCCTGAGATAATTTGCTTAGGATGATGGCCTCTAGCTGCATTCATGTTGCTGGAAAGGACATATTCATTTTTTATGGCTGCAAAGTATTGCATGGTGTGTATGTACTACATGTTTTTTATCCAGTCCCACAGATGGACACATAAGTTGATTTCACGTCTTTGCTATGGTCAATAGTGCTGTAATGAATGTACAAGTGCATGTTTGTTTTTTTTTTTTCCCACAGAATGCCTTATTTTCTTTGGATATATACCCAGTAAAGGCATTGCTGGATAAAATGGTATATCTGTTATTTGTTCTTTGAGAAATCTCCAAACTGCTTTCCACAGTGGATGAACTAATTTACATTCCCACTAATAGTATATAAGCATTCTCTTTTCTTCTTCAGGAGATTTTAATGCCAATCACTATTGAGAACCATTGCAGTCTATATTTAAAAATGGATATCATCATCAATAAGGGGTTCTGATATAAACAAGATAAAGCTGAAAAATCTAAGAATGAAGAAAGGTACAGAAGCCACCCTGCCCTAGACTAATGAAGGCTAAATAATTCTGCATGGGGCATCTGGAAAAAGTGAGAGAGAGAGAGAGACAGGGCATTGTTCAGAACCAGATACTCAGAGACAATGTCTTAAAGGTGAGGACAACAGAGTTAGACTTTCTCTGACGCTGACTTACAGTGGCAAGGCATACGTGGCCAGTTCTCTACAATGGAGACAGCACCCAGAGAGAAAGATTCCAGAACCAAGTGACATGGAGTGGGACATTTACTGAAGAATAGAAAATCAAAACTAGGGAAGCAGAGACAAGACAAGGACCCAGTGGTGAGAAAAAAGGCCAAAAAGGTAAGGAATCAGGTCGATGGAAGAAGTGACTCAGGACTGAGGTGTAAATGATGAGGGTTTGATCATGCTTTGTATGTGTTCTAGGAGTGGTTGTTGCCACTTAAAAATAGATACAATTTATGCAAAAAAATCTAGAATCAGAATCAAGGCAACAAATCTGCTGCAATGGCTTAGTGCAAGCAGCAACAAAGATGAACAGAACATCTATTTCTATCGAAGACCTTGGTCTTCCGAATAGCTGCTCTTGAGACTCGTGTCCTAGGTATCAGCAGTGGCAATTAATGGAGGCAACATGGAATAAGCAACAAGTTTTCCAGTAAGTGGACACTGTAGCCTCAGGAGTTAGATGCTGAGTCAGAAGGATGAAGTCACTCCACCGGAATCACCATACCCAAGTCTAGACCTCAGCAATACCATGAAGTTCTTTTGATGAAGAAAAGGGACATGATTTGTTGGTTGTTATTCCTGTTGTTACATGGTCATGTTAGTTATCTATTGCAGCATAATAAATAACCGCCAAAGCTTTGTACTTAAAATAAAAAACATTTATTATGTCACAGAATCTCTGAGGATCAGGGATCTAGGCATGGCTTAGCCAGGGCTTCTGGCTTGGGATATCTTATATGGTTGCACTAACAGGTTTTGGCCAAGGCTGAGGTCACCTAAAGACTTGACTGGGATAAAGGATCTGTTCTCAAGCTTATTGCTGGCAGAGGTCTCAGTGCCCACCATGAGGGTCTCTCCATAGGGTTACTTACAACATGGTAGCTGGCCTCCCCTAGAGAAAGAGACAGAGAGAGAAAGAAGCATAACTAAGACACATCTTTTATAACCTAACCTCTAAAGTTACCTACCATATTATGCCATAAAATGCCATCACCCTTGCCATATTATGTTTGTCACAGGGCAAACTTGGTACAATGTGGGAGGAGTGATATAAATACCAGGGTATAAATACCAGGAGGTAGAAGTCCATCTCAGAGACTGGCTACCACATGGTTATTGCTGTTATCTTTGTTTATAATTTATTTGTTGTCTCAAAAACATCTACATTGTAGAAATGAAGATACTGGGATTCTGAAAGACTTTGAACAAGGTCATGTTGCTGGTAAGTTGTTCTTAGTTGCTGGGGTATTCTTGGTCATGGTGGCTTGGAACTCACTGACTGTTCATAAATCTTCTTTTATTACTCAGTGGAAGTTCTACAAAACTGCAGTAGAATAAGAAAGACATGGACTGGAAGGTTTTCTTAATCTGCTTGAGCCTGGCTAGCATACCTGGCTTGAGCCCACCTTCTTATAAGAAAGTTTTCTTGGGCCATAAGGAAGCAGCTTGATTGAATCTATTGTCCATGCCATAAATCAAAACTATTCTGTGTCTCTATTGATTCTCAGAATAAGGCCAACAGGATTAAAACCTCATTCCATCTTCTATCTGAATGAAGTAGGATTTAATGCTGTTTAAGCTCTGAGGCTAAAATATGCATGTGATTAGAATTATAAAGACATAATTATAGGATGACAAAATTTAGGAGCAGAAATGTATTTAGAAAATTGATGAGAGATGGAGAGAAGAAAATGACAAGAAAATGAGATATAAAATATAAGAAAAGGCGTGTGTAAGGGGAAGAAAGATGCAGCCAATTGCTTCAAGTGACACATGGTGTAGACCATCTCACTCTTGGAGTGAAGCCTCGGTTTATTCCTGCCAGTCTTCTGTATTTGACCCTTATTTTATGACACATTCTTTACAAATAACCTCTTTGATTCCATTTTTTTTTTATTAAATGAGAAATAGCATTAAAAATTTTAAATGCCCTCAGCCATTTTAATCCCTTCTCATGGGAATTTGTATGCATCCTGCCTCCGGCTACTTCATGCAAATATAGGAAATTCTGTGTTTCTTATTTTGATATTCTGTATCAGACAATAATTTTTCCTTTTTTTCTACAAATGGTAATGTATTGTTCATATAATTCTACATGTTAACTTTTCTAATCGATAACATTTCTTGGAGATCTTTATATTGGTACAACACAAGAGGTTTCTTGTTCTTTTTAAACAGATGAATAGTATACCATTTTAGTCATTTGAAATCTTCTGCTATGTAACCACTGACCCAAGGTATGACCTTATACACATTAAATTTTACAGGCAAGTGTGAGTATAAGCATAGGATAAATTGTTAGAAGCAGAATTGTGGGTCAAGCGGTAGGTGCATTTATAGTCTTGGAAGATTTTGCTAGATTGTTTTCTTAGAGTTGGCACTAGTTTCTGTGTCTATCAGCGCTGTGTGAAAGTGTCTAGCCATTCACAATCTTGCCAGTACAGTATGTATGCAAATATTTGAGTTCTTTTCATGCTGATAAGTAAAAATGGTATCTCAATTTCTATGTAGTGTTTATTTTTATATACTGCCATTTTTTCACTGAGTTGTTGATCTTTTTCTTGCTGATTTGTTGGAACATTTAACATGTTAGAAAAAATTAGGCCAGGCACGGTGGCTCACACCTGTAATTCCAGCACTTTGGGAGGCCAAGGCGAGTGGATCACTTGGGGTCAGGAGTTCAAGACCATCCTGGCCAGTATGGTGAAACCCCATATCTACTAAAAATACAAAAATTAGCTGGGAGTGATGGTGTGCACCTGTAATTAGCTACTTGGGAGGGTGAGGCATGAGAATCACTTGAACCCGGAAGGTAGAGGTTGCAGTGAGTTGAGATTGCTCCACTGCACTGCAGCCGGGTAACAAAGCAAAACTCTGTCTCAAAGTAATAATAATAATAATAATCATCATCATCATCATCAGTAAAAAATTAGCCCTTTTCCTATGAAATGAGTTTCAGTTTTTTTCCCCTCATTCATATGTCTTCTGACTAATGGCTTCTAAGGTGTGTGGCTCTCTTAGTCAGCTCTGGCTGCTAAAACAAAATATCATAAACTAGTTGACTTGTAAAGAACAGAAATTTATTTCTCACTGTTCTGGAGGCTGGGAAGTCCAAAATCAATGCCCCAGCAGATTCAGTGTCTGGTGAGGATCTGCTTCTTGGTTCACTGATGGTCATTATCTCCCTGGGTCCTCACATAGCAGTAGAGGCAAGGGAGCTTCTAGTTTCTCTTTTATAAGGGCACTAATCTCATTCATTAGGACTTTGCCCTCATGACCTGATCACCTCCCAAAGCCCCACCTCCAAATACCATCACAATGGAGATTAAGTGTCAACATATGAACAGGGTGGGAGGGCATTCCCCTATAGCATGGTGTGCTACTTCTATCTATAGCAATCGCACACCATTTATTAACCATTTGCCAATTGTCTTTCTTGCAACTACATAGAATCAAGAAAGCTAAATCTTCAAATCAAACCCACAAAAAGCAAACTCTTGCTCAAAGTACAAGATTCTCTAAAAATAAAAAAAATGATGGAAATGTTTTAAAACCCAAAACCTATTTTAAATAAACGGTCACTTTTCTTGTTTTGCCTGTTGGTGATCCATGTACAGATGCCTTCTTTAATCCATTTTTGTCTGATCACTTGCCAGCAAGGAAGAAAATAATAAAGTAAGGTAAGCAAGAAAGCAAGAAAGCAAGAAAGGAAGGAAGGAAGGAAGGAAGAAAGGAGGGAGGGAGGGAGGGAGGGAGGGAGGGGGAGGGGGGGAGGGAAGGAAGAAAGAAAAGAAAAAGAGGAAGGAAAGAAGAAGGAGAAAGAGAGAAAGAAAGAAAGGGAAAAGCAAGCAATCATACCTTCCACTCTAAAGGTGTGGTGTGAACAAATGAATCAGTCAGATTTGGGGGTAAGAGAATGCCAGGGTTTATGGCCAAGGCTCTCCTCACCTAGGCAACAGTTGGTAGGCAGCATTTGTGGCAGTGGCTAAAGCTGTTCCAGGGCTTGGCTGGGAGAGTATCTGCTGAATAACTAGGCCAGTCCTAGAGCCAAGATCCACAGCTCAGCTGCTGTTGCTGCTGCTGAAGAAGGCTCAGAGACCGTTTTTGCTGAGTCAAATCTCTCTTTGGGGATTTAGAAAACAAATGAGGCTCACAAAAGTAGAAATTCTTCTGGGTAGTTTTTTTTGGGGGAAACAATGTGGTTGATCTTTTTGCTATTTTGTTTTCATATAATTCAGTTAAAGGTAGAGACCTATCTTCATGATAAACACAAAACTAACTCACCCTGGAAGCAACTTCCCTAGTTTTAGGCAAAAACAGTGGGACTAGAGAAATGAAAAATGGAGAGAAAAAAATAGTAAGGAAGAACAAATACATATAGACATATATTTCAAAATGAAAGACAGATGCACACAGTTTTCAATGCCAGCTAGTCTGTGTGTATAAATAGGAAGAGCTCAAGGTAAACTACCAAGAAAATGACTCATCTGGGCAAGAATAAGGGAAGAGATCAAGTGTTCCTGAATTATTAGTAACTTGAAATTACACTCTTATTCAGAGACGCTTCAAAGCAGCCTTCTCCACGCATTGACCTCTGGTGAATGCATGACCCAGCGATGACTTTAGGTAACTAGAGCCAGGATATTACAGGGAATGTTTAATATGTCTAGCCCTCATATATTTATTTTTTTAAGATATAGAAAATACCTTAACTGTTTCATAAAGTGCTTTAACTTTATGAATATGTATATTTGAAATAGGAACTACAGATATTTGAAAAAGAAATTATCATTACCTTAACAAACATTCATTGAGTACCTACTATGTGTTAGGCACCAGACTAGGCTGTTGGCAGGAATGCAAACGGTATGAGTAGTGGTTAGTCTCTTTCAGATATTCCTAGTCTAAGAAAGCATATTTAAGGCACAAACATGGAAAAAGAGGAAGAGGAAGGGCAGAAGGAGAAGGAAGAGAAACAAGAGGGGATATTGAAGTTCTGTTGCTTACCCCCAGAGATGATACTACACTTTAACTAATGCAATTCAAACGTCAGTGTACTTGAGGCTGGAGCCAAAGTCAAGGCATAGTACAGAGACGCCATCAGAGGCACTGGATCAACCTTGCTCGTAGGTGTATAAATACCATCTGTTTACAATACATCCCATTTAAGAAAAGTTCATTATTTTCTTCTCCTAGTCTTTCACTCTTGTTAATGAGATGAACACAAAATCATGATGACTTTGCAACCTAAAAATTTGACTTCTATGTTAATATATGTGTCTATCTCTGGATAGCTTTTTTCTGAATATGTCACTGGTGGCCAGACATTTTGTACTAAGCATTAGCTGGCACCTCAGGGTTTCGGCTTACTTGAATTAAATGTTACCTTGGGCCTTTGTTGCCCATAGATTCTGTTTTCATGTAGTTTCTGATCCCTCCTCTCTTCCATTTATTGCCTTTGACCTATGACTCTCTTGGTTTCTCCATGACTCTACCACCTGCTGACTTCTGCTCCTACCAAACTTCTCAAGAAGGACTGGCCCAGCCATTTACTTTATATTATAGAAGAGATACTTCAGGACATATGGGGGCCACTGGCCAAAATATATATTGCTGCCTTTGTGTCACGTGCATCCTTGGCCCAATCATCTGACTACCCGTGATCAAGGCAGTAAACTCATGGGGCAACAAGAGTATCAGCATACGTAGAAGGAGCCACCAGTGGCAGTTTCTGAAAACAAATCTATGATCATGAGAGATTTCACACATCACAGGTTCCTTCTTGGTATTTTTGCTAAGAAACAGCTTACTTGGCCGGGCGCGATGGCTCACACCTATAATCGCAGCACTCTGGGAGGCCAAGGCGGGCGGATCACAAGGTCAAGAGATCGAGACCATCCTGGCCAACATGGTGAAACCCCGTCTCTACTAAAAATACAGAAAAATTAGCTGGGTGTGGTGGTGTGCGCCTGTGGTCCCAGCTACTTGGGAGGCTGAGGCAGGAGAATTGCTTGAACTCGGGAGGCAGAGGTTGCAGTGGCTGCATAGTCTCTACTTTAATTATAGACCTTTCTATGTAATGTCACTTACTTGAAATAAAGTGTTGTTTTGATCAAATTCTAGAATGACAGCTTTAAAAAGGGACCATGGAGTTCAGTCCTTTCATTTTTATAAATGAGTCATTGGACACTTAGAAGGACTAGGTGAACGTATCTAGTTTGCATCTGGGAGTAGAACTATAATCTGTAAATTCCCTTGACGATGCCTTTTCTACTGCACACTCTCCATGTGAATGCTCTCCAACTAACTTATCAGTTACAATAAGGGTAGTGCATTTAATATCACGAGGACATGCTGCCATTGCAGACATTTTACAAAACAATTTCATCTCCAGTGCCCATCCGTTCATGAATGGATAAGTAAAATGTGGTATTACAATGGATATCTTTCGTTGATTTAAAAAAAGGAATGGAGTGTTGATACATGCAGCAACATAGATGAGCCTCAAAATCAATACACTAATTGAAAGAAGCCAGACACTTAAAAAACTATACAGTGTATGATTCCAGTTCTGTGAACTGGAAAATGAGAGACAGAAGGTAAGAAGGTAGATTAGGGGTTGCCCGGGACTAGCGGTAGGAAGAAGTGATGCAATGAGCACCAGGGATCTCATGAGGATGATGGGAATGTTGTAAAATTGAATGGATTGTGGTGATGCTTGCCCAACTTTGTATATGTATTAAATATCACTGAATTGGTCATTTATGAGAGAACTGTATAGTATTTCAATTATGCCTCAATAAAGCTGCTAAAATAACAAAAAATAAAAGTACCTTTATATATATATTACACTACACTTTTCTAAATTTTTTTCTAATTTAATCAGTCAATTACAACACAATTTTAGTACCAATGAAAATTGGATCTAAACAGAGCAACATGCCAACACAAGCAAAATAATCTCTCAGTGCCAAGAATGGAATAATATGTGGCTGAGAACCTTTCAGTTTGTCATGAACCGCAAACATGGACTTCAAATGACAGAGGTCTAGATTCATTTACTTCTCTGATTATGAAACTGCTTTATTTAGTTGTGGTGAATTGAGTGACCTACTGATCCTGGGGACATAGGATAAGAAAAATTAATCAAAAGCAAATTATGAAAAATACATTTAGAGCAGGGGAGGGGAGCAAGTAGTAGAATAACCTCAAAAACACTCATTTCATACATGTGGAAAATAACATATTACAAATTGTTATTAATCAATGTGACTACACATAAATGTAGATCCTTAAATTGAACCCAGTTTTTTTGCAGTTTGACAGAGGAAGATTATACTTCCCTAAAAGTAAAGTGAATTTTATAGATTTAAAAGATATGTGGTTAAAACAAAATACTTTTACTGAATTAACAGGGAAAGTTCTAATTTTAAATTTAATAAAAATTAGCCGTTTTATCTTTTTCATGACTACGATTTGTGTAAGCCTTGAATCCGGCAT